ACTAATAACTATACTAACTACTACTAACTATACTACTAACTACTAACTACTACTACTACTACTACTACTACTACTACACTAACTACTACTACTAACTACACTACTACTACTACTACTACTACTACTACTACTACTACTACTACTACTACTACTACTACTACTCTACTACTACTACTACTACTACTACTACTACTACTCTCTCTCTCTCTCTCTCTCTCTCTCTCTCTCTCTCTCTCTCTCTCTCTCTCTCTCTCTCTCTCTCTCTCTCTCTCTCTCCCCCCAGCCCCACAGATACAAACCCAAGTTGTTTCTTTCTCCCCACCCCCAAAAACACAAACCCACGCTGTTTCTTTCTCCCCTCAAAGTTCTTCCTTCCTCTACAGACTCAAATTGCTACTCTCTCTGCCCAAAACCCACATTGCTCTCTGTTAAGGTTTCCTTGCATATACACAAGTATTAACTTCTAATTTTTATGGTATTCTTAACTTTTCATTTTTTCTTAACTTTTGATATTTCATTATAAAGGACATGTTACTTCAATGCTTTTTTTAATTTTTATTTATGATTTTCTCTTCCCTAGTCCCCCATAAAGTAGGAAATTCTCATAAAATTTTCATTCAAGTAGGTCATCTTGGAAATTAATACAGAATTACGACTATTGCTTACATTCTATTTTGGATTTTCTTAAAATTTTTATTTTGACGAAGTAAGAGATGTGATAATTGCTATTTTTTTTCATTATTCTCTTTCTAGATTTTTAATATTGGCAATGTACATTACCCTAAAAGTTTTTTTTCTTTTATGGTAAGATAATAAAGCTACAGCTGGTAAGAAACTATTTATTTGGGTATATAATTATACATATAGAATAAAATTAGATTATCAAATTATTTGAATTCTTTTAGTTCACCTTAAAAATAGTAAATACGAGATATTTAATTGTAATTAATAACAAACTTTGTAATAACAAAATTGGAGAATAGCATAACAACATACATAATTGAATCGATGTCTTTGATTAACATTGGAGTCGATATATTGAATGACCTCCATCACAGTTCTCCACAAGTGATACAAGGTCGAACAACTTAACAAGTACTTTCCTAGAGTTTTTAGATTGAATAAAGAAAATAAAACTACTTTAATTTATTAATAACATATATAAAAAAAGACATTTATTGCATGATCATCATCATAATCCAAACCTTATCCTAACTATTTGGGGTTGACTACATGAATCTTGTTCCACCATTTTGCTCCATCAAAAGGCCATACCCTCAATCAGACCATAAATCACCATCTCTTCTCACTTCTTCCATCTATTGTCCTTTTGGGCCTTCCTTTTACCTTTTTAGAGCCTTCTACTTGAACAGTCGCCCTTTCTAAGTATTGTTCATTTAAGCCGACGTTGCACATAGCCAGACCACTTAAGTCCACTTTCCCTTATCTTATCGCCTATTGGAGCCATCACTAAGTTCCCTTGGATGTATTCATTCTAAATTCTATCCTTTCTTGTCTTGCCACTCATCTATATCACCACTTTATTTATTAATAATGTATTTTAAAAAATATTTATAAAAATTCTCCAACTTTGGGAATGATGTAAACTAGAATTTGTTCACACACACAGTTTTTAGATACCCATCATAAATTAATGAATAAATTTTAAATAACAAAAATTTTCAAAAAATGTTTAAGAAATTCCAAGCATTCCATAAAATTTTGGCAATCATAGTACCACCTAACTTGTTAAAGCATGTTAACGAATTTAGCATGTGACTTGTTAAAGCAAGCTAGGGAATTCATGTTTGCTGAATGGCAAACAATGTATGTGTATTGGGGAAGTGAGATCTCATATTGGTTGAATCATGGTATTACGCATCGATGAATCACAAAATTTGGTGAGGTGGAATCTAGATGCCAAAGACATCAGAAAGAGATTGATAAAACATGGCGTCGTGATTCTTAACTTCCATGAATCAAAGATTTGTGACGATTCCTTCATGGAAACGCGAAATCACGATTCTAAACAGGAATCGCTACCTAGGGTGGACGATTCCGGTAACTAGAAGTCCATATGTCTAAAGAGTCCTTATAGAATATGCATACTATATAGTTTATAAGATCTATAATATGTAGAGTATATAATCATTCTCATATAGTCTCTAGGGTATATACACTATAGCCCGTATGGAGGAGGGTTGGGCAGGGCTATTGAGCCTTGGCCAAGGCCCAACTCAACCCCACCACCACGCCTAGATTCCAAGCCCAAGCTCAACCGGGGGTCAATAATCGGGGCTAAAGCCTGGGTTATTTAGAGCCAGACTGACCGGGCTGGGCTACCTCCCCACTCATTGCCATCTCTAACAACATAGACTGATGATAATTTTTGAGTTGCAGTAAGGATATGACTTCCTATGCTCAATTATCCGGAAGCCTTTTGAAAATCCATAAACAGGCATTGGATGAATCGTTCATCTCAGAAAATGAAACTTTTCAAGAAGAAATAAACATCCTTAGGCAAATGATCTAGAAAGAGAGGATACACAATCATTTTTTCTGATAATTTTCCAGAGTAAATCGTAAATCATTCCCTGCTTTCGATGTTTACTGGGTGTCTAACTCTAAATTATCTTTTAGAACTATCCAACTTAGCCCCTGACAGAAAGCATCTCTCAAATAGGCCGAGGAAGAATGCCCCAACCCCATGCACAAAAGAAAACCAAATTTTTGCACAGAATCAAGGAACATGTAACTGATAAATATCTCAATATGCCCCTAGGGACTCATTATTCATTGAACGCGAATCAATTTTTAGACTCCTACAAATTTCTGTAGGTCCTCAACATCTACTTCAGGTCCAGCTCAAGATATCCTTTGTTTTAGGCAATACAAATTTCAAGGCATCAAAAACCAGTTAGGAACAGCTCAAGACACAGGCATAAATCAACCAAGGAAACCTTTGAGGTTAAGAATACATGTAACCTGACAAAAACTTTGCACAATCATATGACAATTCTCTGGGGAAAAAATATCCAGAATTGAATAAAGAGACATAAGGGCAAATCGCAGCATAGTTATCAAAAGTGGCTGCACAATGAGTTATGTAACCCAATCAAAGGGGATTCGCCCTACAAGACACCACATATATGAGGGACATCACGTTGCACCCGCATATGCAGCACATGTACGTGCATCTCTCACAATTATGCGCCCGCATATGCGAGTGACTGTTCGTGGGCAGAAAAAATGCCCAGGAGCAGGAGCATATTTTCCCTTAGAACCAGTTTTTCATGTTTCTAAGGGGATTACAGTACTGACAATTCAATCAAATCTTTTTATAAAATCTGAAGATTTCAATAAAATTTGATGATTCCAGGGCAAAAATTGGAGTTTTTTTGTGCATTATTTTGAAGGAATTTA